TACTCTTGATGCAATAAAATCTCCTAAGTCCTCCGCCATATTATTGTCTTCTTTTATTCTTAATCAAATACTTTATTACTTTGCCATATAACTTCAACATCTCAATCTGGTGATTGGTGTCGAAACAAGTAGTATCAATCCTAACACACACCCTAGTCACATGCGTCTGCATTGAAAATATTTACAACGATATCTTGGGGGACATCAAGCACAAAAAAAAAAAAAAAAATCCCGTAAAGACCAGAAGGCATGCTTTGCCAAAGCATGAGCAGCTTGGTTGGCAACCCTCTTAACAGAAGAAACAGTAACATCTCTCAATGAGGTTAGCAGATAAGAAATTAAAGGGATGATGGTTCCTCCTGGGCGAAAGATCGTGGATTCCAAATAGCATTCAGTCGGATTCAAGAGTGGAAATTTCGAGGCCTGAAGTGTGAACTTCATCCCCTTAATGATTGCCATGAGTTCTCTGCTATAGGCGATAAAAAGCTGGGAAGAGCTTTGGATGCTGCAACCAATTCACCAGATTCATTTTTACAGATTGCCAAACTTCTTCCGACCATTCTTAACTGCGGCATTGACATTCATTTTAAGCTTCCCCAGGGCAGGCGGCTTCCAGTTACCTGCAAGGTGGTTCCAGTTGTCTGTGATGATTCCCTGACTTCACAGCATAAGCTCCTGTCCTTCCAAAATACCATAAAGAATGGTCCCAGAGTCCTGGATGACCTTGAGGCAGCGGAATGGCTTCAACGTCCAGTGACCAAAACATTTCAGAGATATAAGAGGAACTTTCCAGCTTCCATCCTGGAGCAAGAGATCTGCCATAGTTAGAAAAGCCAGTTACCGTGGGAAGTACTGATTTGGAGAATAGAGTAGGGGTGAGGATCCATGGTGAGGTGAAAACTGAAATGCTTCTCCCATCCCCAAAACCTCCACTGAAGGGCCGCGCTTAATAAGTTCACGGCCCCACAAGGTGCTTATACGAACAGCCCTCCTTGCATTTAGCACGCATGAATGGGTAATTAGAGAAGTATTTCGCAAGAATGATCTGGGCCGGTAATGAGTCGGAAGATGTGAAAATTTTTCAAGCCTGTTTTGCAACAAGGGCTTTGGTTGAAATTTACAAGACGTTGAAAGCCAAAGCCATCCCGAGCATTTGGTTCACACATAGCATCCCACAACTTCCAATGTAATCTGTCCTTTCCATCCTTATTCCCCCACCAGAAAGAGGCAGACAACTGATGGAGCTCATCACAAAGACTTTGGGGGAGTTTGAACACCCTCACGGTATAAGTGGGTATGGCCTTTGCAACCGCATTAATAAGAACTTCCTTGCCCCCTGTCGAGAAAAATTCACGGTATAAGTCGGTATGGCCTTTGCAACCGCTTTAATAAGAACTTCCTTGCCCCCTGTCGAGAAAAATTTTATTTTCCACATCTGAAGCCTGTTCCTGACTCTTTGCTTAACTCTCGTGAAAACACTTTTCTTGCTCCGCCCAATTATAGATGACAGTCTAAGATAATTACTGTGAGCTTGTATGTGCACCAGTCCGAGTAACTCCAAGAAAGATCTTAAAGAGTCCTCAGAAGTGTTCCAGATAAATATCATGGCAGATTTAGTCATATTAACTTTTTGGCCCGAGGCTGATTCTTAAGTTTCAAGAATATCTTTAACAGCCTGACAGTCTAGTTGGATCTCGACAAAAAACAATGCTATCTTCAGCAAAGAAAAGGTGGTTAACTTTAGGTCCATGCCGGGAGCAACTCAAACCTCGAAACAGTCTGATAAGATTCCGCCCGCTGGAAAAGTCTAGAGAGCTCCTCCGTGCGAAGAAGGAAGAGGTATGGAAAAAGGGGGCAGCCTTGTCTAAGCCTCTGCCAGGGTCGAATGCATCCCTGTGGAGTACCATTGATGATGAGCGAGAAAGTGACTGTAGAAATACACTCACGAACTGGATGTATCATCACATCCAAAATGAAGATCCATTCAACGCGGTCATATGCCATACGCTTATCCAGCTTCATAGACAAGTAAGCCACATTCCCGAATGTGCCTTTTCATAGATGCAGCGTATAATTCTTCGCTGCGTCTGGCAGTATGGAATTAGATTCTTAGAATAAAAGTCAGTGAAAACTAATCAATTAATTTTAAAAATACCTCTTTCTTGTCAGCGCAGGACAAATTTCTTGTTTACATTGTAATTAGTGAAGTTTATTATTGCGTCACTCTCTAAACATATATTTTTATAAATATATACTCATGGTTAGATTCCTTATTAGAGTTGACTTTATTTTCCCTATTTGGGGAAATGAGTATTGGAGTTTTGGTTTCTGGTTTATTATTTTCACTTTGTTGCTGTGAGTGGGTTTATTTTGTTAGAGGTTATCAATTCATGGAAGGTAATTGATTAATTTATTGTCTACTTTTTTGAATTTTCCAAAAGTTTTAATAAAGCTTTACTGTTAATCTGTCATGTATTATCAAAATCAGCATGATGCTGTAAAATGAACGAGTGCATTTTTTTTAAGTTGATGCTGTCTCCTTTGGTTGCTTTGTGTATATCTGATTTTGCTGTCTCAGAATGTGGCAATTTGTTTTTCTGAATTTCAGTTCCGTAATTCTTCCAAAATTTACTTAGTAGATGTTGTGATGCAGGAAGCAGTAATCCAGGGGGAAATGAATCCGTGGAGGAACTTCATACTTCAACATTTACTTGGCGGATTGAGAATTTCTCTAGGCTAATTGTGAAGAAGAAATATTCAGAAACATTTGTCGTTGGAGGATACAAATGGCATGTTTGAACTTTTCCTACTATACTGAACACTTCATTGCTGCTATTTCGAGTCTCGTATTAACTGACTTTTGCTTTCTTTTCACAGGCGGATTCTTGTTTTCCCAAAGGGTAACAACAATGACTGTTTGTCTGTGTATCTGGATGTTGCAGATTCAGCTGGTTTAGCGTATGGGTGGAGTAGATACGCTCAGTTCGGTCTTTCTGTAATTAATCAACTGCACACTAGGTACACGATCAGAAAAGGTTAGTACTACCATTCAAACTGGACTTTAACATCATATCAGGATTAGCAAGAGAACTCAAATAGGTTTCATCTGTTGTTTCATAAATTTCATGGAAATGTATTATTCCCATGATGCAGATACTCAACACAATTTCAATGCCCAAGAAAGTGATTGGGGTTTTACAAATTTTATGCCATTAACTGAATTGTACGATCCAAACAGACGCTATCTCGTCAATGATACGTGTATAATTGAAGCCAATGTCTCCGTATGTGTGACAGTGAGTCGTCCGTTGTATGACTCGAAAAAGGAAACCGGTTTTGTTGGATTCAATAGTCAAGGAGCAACTTGCTATCTGAACTCTCTCCTCCAAACTTTGTATCATCTTCCCTACTTCAGGAAGGTTGCTTTTACTTTTATTTTTTATTTTTGATAAAACGTGTCTTTGCTCCCGCCTTCTGTCTGTCTGGCGTAAGCAGTTTACAGAGACGTTTTATATGGATTAAAATATTATATTTGGGTTTTAGGCTGTATGTCACTCTCCCACCGAGAATAATATGCCATCTGGGAGCATCACTCTGGCCCTGCAGAATTTATTTAGTGAGCTCCAGTCCAGTGACAACACTGTCACGACAAAGGAGTTTATGGAAGCGTTTGGATGGATTACATATAACTCTTTTCCACAACATGATGTCAAAGAATTTTTTAGAACTTTATTTGAGAAACTGGAAGAGAAAATGAAGGTAAGGCAATGTTCAGCAATTATTCTGATTTCTATTTTACTCCTACAGGATTGTGGACATTATTTCTCATTTTCTATTGCTATCGTATTCTTTAGAAATTATTTGAGGGGCACCATATGGACTTCATTGAATGCATCAATGTGAACTATAAATCTACCAGGAGGGGATTATTTTATGGTATTGTAGAAATTAGATGTGATCTTAATATTGTCAACTACTGCCATTATTATTACGCAAAAACATTGAACTGATCACTAACATTTTGTGGCAGATCTTCAGCTTGATGTCAAGGGTTGTCGTGACATTTATGCCGCCTTAGATAAGTATGTTGAAGAGGAATGTCTTGAGGGTGATAATAAATATCATGCTGGATCATATGGCTTGCAGGTTTGTAGGAGCTTCTTTTTGCAAGGTGTATCGCTACTCTTATTTCTGACTAAAAATGATGCTAGACATATTTTAAGCTACTCAGAATCTGGTCTAAATTACCTGTCCTTGGAAGGATACGGGGGTATCTGGTGTCATCACTGTTGGGAATTTACTTAATCATGCACAGCGGAAATAAAATAATTTTCAATTCCCAAACGAGGATCTGTAATGTGTTTAGATAGAAACTGTGATGAGAATGATATCTCTGATAAATTTCACAAACTCTTTTGATTTTCCTTGAACTCCAATGATCACGATCTGCAATCCAAATTGTCCAATTGTCCAGCCTCCAATGGTGATCCACACAGAGAACAAGAATGGTGGCTAAGATTTCTTTTCTTGTGCTAGCAAGAATAAAAAATCTCAACAGTTTTCAAACCCTAGTATCATATTAATATAAACCCAAGTGGGCTGGCCCCTCTTGAAACTAAACCCGGTCCGATATTTTATTAATCAAATTAATTAAAGGGAAAAAATCATATTTAAGGTGTTTTCTTTACCTCAATTCAAAAATAAGGTAAATAGTTTAAAAATTCAAAAATCAGGTATTTATTTAATTAATTAAAAATATTTATTAAATAAAGATAATAAAGTCACATTTTGTGATTAATGGTCACATATTCATAATTTTAAGTTACAGATTTATTTACTGGTCACATATCGTCAAATTTTTTGATCGCAAATTATTTCGAGGTCACATATCAAAAAATTTGTACGTCACAAATTATTTCGAGGTCACAGATTTTTAAATTAGTTGGTCACATATTATTTCGAGGTCACAGATTATTAAATTTTTAGGTCACATTTGAGTAATTGGTCACAGATT